AATGAAATAGAAAATAAATGAAAGCTAAACAGAAATGACAAAAGCACATAAGTAGATTACTAAAATTCGAACTAAAATTAATACTAATGATAATGTAATAGCATGTAAATAGTACTAAAATAACACACTGAGACACTTAAGACAATTATAGTGCATTAGCACAATGTCCCACCAGAGGCATTTATTTTAAAGAGTTAAATATGTATGAATGCATGAGATGAAGTGCAGTCTAACACTTTCTGAAGTCACATGGTGCCATTCCCCCGTCAGCAGTGTATTAGGCAGAACATCCATCGGTTGCTCGATGACCTGAGCGTCATTAATGTGTGTAAATGGTCACCGGGGGGTTTTCTTTCGCCCCGAGGCGGCTGGCGACACTCTTCACAGGGCGACTGTGCCATTATTCTGCGTCCGGTGATGTGAGGAAGGGAGATATACTGTACTCCAGTGTATAATGAGAGTTCAGGTGAGCACTTGGGATCCGTTTTGCCCTTGATGTTAAAGATGGTAAATGCGAGTGTGAGAAAAATGATCTCATGCTCTTCTAACTTTTAATCGTATCACTGTTTTTTGCCTTCGTAACTCCAAAATTCCTCTTGCCCTCACCTTCTGAATCGACCTACACTGCTGTTTTCCCCTTCGCTCTCCTGGATGTGATTTATTCGTCCTCCAGCAGAAAAACCTCACCGTGGCCACGAGCAGAAGTCATAGCATAGCATATGGCAAACGCAGCTCAATTAATTTATGCTTTGAAATGTTTTCGTCAATAACCTTTCTCCATGAAAAGCTTACAATCAAGTGGAGAGCACAAATTAAATAACAATTAACAGCGGTTATTTGCTCGCCGTTAGCTTGAGGACGCATCTCTGCCTCTGCCGTGGCGTTTTTCAACAGTTAATCAGAGAACTGGCAGAGTGAAGTACCGTTTAATTCGTGAGGTGATTTATAAATGTAATTCTGATTAATTTTGTGTGAGTGTGTGTGTGTGTGTGTGTGGTTTACACACACACACACGAACAATTAAAGGTAAAGCGAACAATTACTGACTTGTATTAAAATACACCACTGATTTTTGTGAAATGCTCTTGGTTTCTGTTTAGATGCCAATGTCATGATGAACGTGTGCAGGAATCCAGATCAACAGTGTCAGTTAATAGTTATTTTCTGTCATGCTATCGGTGGAGACACTTCTTTTGTAAATAGCAAATGTGGTGCTTAAATCTCACTTCCTCAGTGTCAAAATGTGCACTTTCCTATAAAAATGCATCAACAGTAAAACAGAAGGGATATTTGGGATTGTTTGATCAGGGTTGGAGCTGAACTCTGCAGGAAGGTAGATCTCCAGGAACAGGGTTGGGCACCCCTGTTGTAGATTATGTCAAAAGGATGACAATACTAATAATTTTAATTGTTAAAAATCAGCAAGGCATTCAAAAAAGACATTTGATGTGTTTAAAACTAGCTACCTCTGATGCTAAATGAATTTTCTTTTAGATCGTAGTTTATCTAACAAATCTAATGCGTCCCACAGCAGAAAACAGTGTTGGATTTGTGCCTCTTATGCTTTGAAAGAAAGGGACACCAAAGTGCAGTGTATTCATGGAAAGTGCTGCTAAAACAATGCCAGACTCCAGAAATCCATATTTAATTATGCAGCGGAGCTAAAGAAAGTCTTTTGCTGTTAGTTTGAGAAATATGAATAGAAAATATCCCAGGGAAAGCCTCCGTCATGCCCGGAGAGGACCAAGGACGAATGTATTTGGCTGAACTTGTCGAGTTCTTGCCGCTTTGGTGGAAGGAGAATTCGAGGTTCTCTATTGTACAACGGAGACCAAATATCGATTCCTCTCAGGAGAGAAAATGTATAGTCTCACAGGCATATTGTGATTTCCAACAATACATATAGCCTGAAAGGCATTGATTTTCAAGCAGCATGGATTGTCACGTTCGATAATTATTAGGTGCATTGCCTCTGTTCCTCTAAGGTTGACTGAAGGCACTTGGCTTTATGGCAGGTGAAATTTGGCTCGTTTTAAAGAGCTTGATTCACATGTCGACCTTGGCATTGCTTTAAAGACTTAAACACACCCACAGCCAATACGCAATTAGCGTTGTGCTGAGCTTTGGATAAGTGTCTCATATGTTATTTGTTGGCCTTTCCATAAACCTTGCAAATAAATTAGCAGAGTTGATTGTGAGCATGAATCTGGTCATTTCTGCAGTGACACATTCTGCATTGAACACAGGCGACGGATGAATAAGATGAAACACTAAGCCAACATTCACATTATATCATTTAGTACATTCATTCATTTTACGAAAGAGGAAAAACACAAGCCATTTATCATAAAGGAGCCATAGCTATTAGCAGTCCTGAAAGAGCGAATTTCAAAAGTAACCCAGAAAAGGTAGGCCGAGATAGGCTGCGGCATATGTGGGTAGCAGTAATAGAAAGAGTTGTGTGCCTTTTATAATTGCTGTAGTGTACATTGAGAAGACTAGCGGGCCTAGTACTGAACTTTGGGGCACTCCAGTGCTTAGTCGATCACAATTTTTAATCTTTATGATAATAAGTAGGTGTTGCGCATGGAGGTTATATGAGTTGCATACATGATGCACAGAAATACATGAGTGAGGTAAATTGCTAAATCATATTAAGCAGAATCTAATTGTACATCATTGTGAAGGCAGCTAAACTCACCGACAAGACACATCACACCACAACAGATTAAATTCACTATCAGCTTGTGTGACACCTTGTTGGGGTCAGACACAAGTATTAGCTAGACATCAAAATGATCCCTCAGCAGCTTTCTGTAGCGTTTGTTGTAATTTTATACCTGCATGTTTAGGAAAACAGACTGACACGTAACTTTAGCTGCCAAGTACCTTCTAACGGACGATGCCTACACACCACAGAAGAGCTAAAATTAGACCCTCATCCACTGCGTTATGAAGCTCACAGCCTGTGAAGGTCACAAGAGGATTTAGAGTGGAATGTTTGCACAAAGATATGAAAAGTTGTGTTAATGCACAAGGGATGATTACTGAAAGTCTTTTAAATGAATAACATGGGGAATATCAGGCAATTCTGGACATCACAGATCAGCTGTGCTGCTGCTTTTGTGTTTTATTTCAAATGGATGAATCATGAAACATGCAAAGAACATGTCCAGGTCATCTTTCCCCCTCAAAATCAAAACTGTATTTTGCATAAAGCTGTTTGTTTTGGCATTGTGACATTATTTTCGTTACAATTTAGCGCCCTATTGTACTGAGATCATTTACGTTTACTGAGGTGTTTAAATTATGAATTAAACCTTGAGATGTATACATTTCGAAATATAGACCTTGGCACTTGGTTGGCATAAATTAAGGACAACTTCAAATCTTCGCTGAATCACAGCACTCTGAAAGAGCGTTATAATGATTTCCGAGACAATGAGGAGCATTTCAAGCTCTTTATGAGATGCAGGAAATCCACCATTACAGCAGATGCCTCCCTCTGAGGCGCTGAAGTGTCATAATCACTCCTTAGTCACTATTTAGACAGGGATATTATTCCGTTGTCTATCATACATTCATTCAAATCCTTCACTGTTTTCTGGAAACAAGAGAAAATGGCCCTGGAACTGTCAACATGCAAGCTGGAACTGTATAGTGATACAGCAGCTATCATAGAGGCTTGTTTGCTCTATTCAGAAGTAAATCTACAGTATTTAATTGCACGTGTATAATCAAATTTTACACACATGATCCAAAAGCCTGGTAAAATGCAGTGGAGGCAGTTGTAACAGTGAAAGAGATGCGATATATCTGTGTAAGTTGTATTTTTTGTTTTTGTATACCTGAACTGAGGTTCATGGAAAGAAAATCCCAGGACATGTTTGTGTAGCTCAGTGCTTATCACAGTGTGTTTGTGTGTGTGTGTGTGTGTGTGTGTGTGTGTGTGCTTGTAATGTTCCCTAGAGGCTTGTTGACTTCTTGTTTGTTTTAGATTGCTTGTGTTTGCTGTAGGTTCACAGAAACACACACATATACACGCAAGAGGTCGTTAACCTTCAGAAAATGTTGGTCAAACTTGAGTTCCATCAGATTGCTAGGTATATATTTATTTATCTTTAAGCTTCGTTTTGTCATAAATATGTGGATATTGAAATTCACCAATGAGTGAATTAGTGAAGTAGTAAAATGGGTAAATAATGAATGTATGAATGTACCACACAAAACAAATCACCACCAGTATATCTGAAAGAGATTTATAGTGGGTCTGGAGCTAAATAATTCTAAAATAATTATTTTGGACACAATTCTTCATTATGTAACAACAACAACAAAAAAATGTTTGTAATTCTTACCTTGCTCTCATATTTTTTATTAGAATTCATCACATCTGGGTTGAGCTGTTCATCTGTTTGTCTAGCCTTTATTCATGGTATTGTAAGAGTAATTGAATACTTTAACACTTTTACAAGTTTTCTTGTGATGTTTGAGGGATGAAGAGAATGTCACTTATTTTTTCCAAATGATTATTGAAAAAAATATACTGTTTCTATTTTTGTAAAGATAATTCAACAATTCAAGAGAAATATAAGTTTATATATAGCTATAAACCAGACCAGCCTAATTTAGAATACACATTAGTAACCCTTTTACTTGCAAACCCATTCTGTCATGATTTACCGACTACAATTTTTCTATTTAATGTGGGTGTTTATTGAAAAATGACGCGGTCACACAAACATAATTAAACCGTATGTGGAAGCTGGATGGTTAAAGGTGAAGTAATCGAGCATTGACTTCTAGAGTTAAAAAATGACTGAATTGTATTTATTGTCAATGTTACTCAAATGCTTACTGCTAAAAAGCGATGAGGACACGAGGTGTGTGTGTGTGTGTGTGTGTGTCTTTCTTCACCCCGAATTTCTCCAGGTTCCAGCAGCAGCAACTTCAGCGAAAGTGTGTTTGTGTGTAATGGTGCTGGTGTTCCTGTGTTTCAGAGGATCAGCTGCCCCCAGGTTTCCCCACCATAGATATGGGCCCCCAGCTCAAGGTGGTGGAGCGCACCCGTACTGCCACCATGCTCTGTGCTGCTAGCGGTAACCCCGACCCAGACATTTCCTGGTTCAAAGACTTCCTCCCGGTCAACACCAGTAACAACAACGGCCGCATCAAACAGCTCCGATCAGGTAATTTCCCTCTGTAACGCTAGAAGAAAAGCAGCTACAAAAGCCGCTATTGTCCTTCTTTCCGTTTGAGTTTCTGTTCTTTCTCATGGAGACTTTTCTTTGGTTTTCTGTAGGAAATGGCATCTACGTCGTCTGCGTCCCCTCTGTGTGTGATGTGTCTTGTGTTCCTGTCTGTTTAATTTATTACCCATGATTCACTGCTATGACTGCATTTTTGGCCATCTTAAATTGGGCTTTGTTTTGTTTCCATTTTAACACTTAGTTGCAAAAAGCAGCCGAACCATGCATAATAAATAAGTGTCGTTCTCCATGTCCTTATTTTCCTTCCTCCAATGCGCAATGTGTAAGATCTGGCTTCATTCAGAGCTCTCGAAAGAATCATCAAAGTTGTTTTGTTTGTTGCTCTCATATCATGATGCAGCACGCGACCTGGTGAACCTCGATTATGCCCAAAAACGAGCAAAAAAAAGACAAAAAAAGGGTGTCCTTTTGTGTGTGTGTTTGTGTGACCCTTGTTGTGTGTTTGCGCATCCAACTGACCAAATTCAGGACTGAACACGTTGGTGATTCTTTGCACCGGGTGGTCTCTTTTTAAGTAGCGCAAAACCCCCGTTTCGTTTCGCAAATACGTAAGCTGACCGTGTCGCTCGAGTTGCTCCAATGTGTTTTCCAGCCCTCGATGCTACGACATGTCTTCCCAGAGTCCTCCGCTCTGCCCTTGTCCTGTTTTCTGCCGTTGTCTGATTTCTCTCTTGATTTTCACCCTGTACAATAGAGTGTCAGATTTAAGTGTGTCAACCAGAGCAAACGTAAAGAATATAATCATATTTTCTATGCTGTCTTTCTTCTCTCTGTTTTGTAAATCTCCAGAGTCCTTTGGTAAGTTTGTAGATCTGAACACACATGCCTCCCACTAATATCTCCACTATGTTTCTCAAACTACTGTTAAAATGCATGGCATGCATTTTACTAACGGTGTCGATAGGCCAGCAGAACACACTGACTAGCTGACTAGCAGTAAAGCACACGCTCAGGGCCACACTGGCAGGACCGACACTGACACTCTCACTCCATCTGTGTCTCTAAAGCTCACAGCTCAAAGACTCTCCACTGTTTCCCAGTCAATCAGTCCTCAGCTCCCCTCCCGCTAGATCACGGCCACTGCCACAGGTCTCAGAACGGCCCCTTGTGCTTCATCCACTGTGCCAGTTGCTCTTTGACCTCCTAAAGTGACCAATGCTCAATCCTGTGCTTTTCTCCACTAGAGCCAATGGCTGTCTTTTCTGAATCTCTCTTTCCTGTTGTAGCCTAATACAGTCTGTAAGAAAACAAAGCAAAGCTAATTTGATTCTTCTTCCAAAGCGGCCAGACTCTCTTCTCGCACGACTGACTCTTCTTTCTTAATCTTATTTGCATTCATATAATCCACCCAGGTGGTACGCCAATAAGAGGTAAGAGTGCTCAACTCAAGTTCACAGAATGAACAACTGACTTCATTCTTCCTGTCCCTCATGTGTCTGCATCCATCGAATGCCCCGGCATCTTCCCATCATCCCTCCTTCATCCCGTTCTGTTCCATCTCTCGCCATTTTCGCCTCAGTGCTTTTTGGTTCTTTGGTTTGGTTTTGGTTTCAGTTCGAGAAAGCCTCTTGTATTTTGGTTGTTTTTGTTTTTTTCTTCTGAGCCGATATGCTTACTGCAGCCCAAAGAAGCATATCCTGTACGTGTTTTTTTTTTCTCTCTTCTATTTCATTGTTTTTGTATTATTTTTCTTATCTTTTGGCCATAGCAGATCATGTGTCCCTTTTTTCGTCCAACTAAAACAGCCAAACATTTTCCCCCCTTAGCTGTGTTCTTGTTCAGCCGCACATGAGCCCAGATGTCGGAGACACGCCGGAGACCTCTCTGCCACGATTTTTCCCCAAAAAGCATCTTTCTGTCTTTACAAACTTCTTTTTTTTTTCGCTAGCTCAAACTATTTTGAACCACCCGTACGATTAAGTGCCTTTAGAAACCCTGCAACATGTATCCTGTACTGTATGTTTTCCTCTCCATTGATGTGGTTGTAAAATGTCCGAGATAATTAACGCTGCAAAGTCTCTTTTCTTTTGGTTTCTTTCTGTGTGCCCTCTCGAATGTCTACTGCAGTGCTCGTCGCGCTCTTCTCTAGGCCGGCGCCTAGATAGTCAGCATGGCGAGATACGAGCTCGCAACACACTTCTATTTAAGGCGCAAGCCGTTTTGAATTTTGACCTCTAATACAATTGCATTTTATTTTTCAGCTAAGGGTTGTCAAAAGGTTGTAAGTTGTGCCGACACACATTTCTTGTTCTTTGGAAAGATTTGCATGTGCTGGAGGTTTATGTACTGGTAACGATAATTCTCCCAACAGATGTTTTTCTTCTTCCATTCTTATGATTCGAGCAGCGCATTTTTCCTGAAAATGCTGCGATTTTTACTGACTTCCACCATCTGAAGTCCTTGGCCATTTTATTGAGCGATCAATTTGAATTGAATTTAACACCAAATTTTATTAGCCAAATTTTTTTTTTTTTAATTGTCCTCCCCCTTTTATGCTGCTTTTGTATACTGTAAACCTTTTTTTATTTGAGTCATATGCTGCTGTATTGCAGTTTTCACTCATTCCCATAATGAACAGTCCTGTGAGATGTGTAATAATATTGCAGGGCTACCCCCCCCCCAATCACCTTTTGTAGACCTCTCAATTAATAACCGATCAGTATTATTATTGATTATTATCACAACTGTTTTTCTAAACAGTAAAGCTCAAACTATTTTGAACCACCCGTACGATTAAGTGCCTTTAGAAACCCTGCAACATGTATCCTGTACTGTATGTTTTCCTCTCCATTGATGTGGTTGTAAAATGTCCGAGATAATTAACGCTGCAAAGTCTCTTTTCTTTTGGTTTCTTTCTGTGTGCCCTCTCGAATGTCTACTGCAGTGCTCGTCGCGCTCTTCTCTAGGCCGGCGCCTAGATAGTCAGCATGGCGAGATACGAGCTCGCAACACACTTCTATTTAAGCACCTCGAAATGACTCTATTCCTGACAAAATCATAATATGCATCATGGATCCACCGTGAAATCCATCTTTAGTGCCAAAATTGCTTTCCCATATTGCATCGGGCCTAGAGAATGAAACACTGCATTAGACATGTTAAGGGGAAACGTTTCTACCCCCAGCTTCCAGGAGCTTAGCTTGCATAAACTGCTTAAGTCTGTACCAAGCTGTCCAATGCGAGGCATGCCTGCAGATGTCGCCTCTCAGGGTTAAGAGTCAGTATAGCGGCAGGCCTTAAGCCCGAGCCATTTTGTGGCGTTCACCCTTACGGAGATCTAAACAGAACAAATAACGCCATTTATAGAGAGAAATAGTCCTAGCGTGTGATTTGGTGAAAGTTGTTTAATGGCTGGTGTTATTATTGTAATTATCTTTTTCTGCTGGTGTTCTCTCCCACTGTGTAGGAGCGCTGCAAATCGAACAAAGCGAGGAATCGGACCAAGGGAAGTACGAATGTGTCGCGACCAACAACGATGGCACGCGCTATTCCGCACCTGCCAACCTGTATGTCAGAGGTAGGAACAGCACACGGCGGTAAACAAAGCCGACAAAAGAACATGTAAAAACTCAGACGCACACACTTTTGAAACAAATTGAGCCGAATAGCGGGTCACTTTTCTTGTTGGGGTCCCTCTGGTTGCGTGAGCATTTTTGTAAGTACGACATAATGCTGCAGCCTTGATTTTCTGCCTGTCTGGTGTTTCATTTCAACTTAACCTTTATTGACTTGAATGCTTGTGTGTGTAATACGACTGACTCGTAAGATAACAGGAATGACAAATTGAGTTTAACCTCTTTACTCTCTACAACAAATGTCTCAGTGCTCTGTTTTTTCTCTTTATTGACAAACATGGAATAAAACTATTTTTCTTTATTTTGGAGCTTTATTTTAAAGCAAAAAAAAAACTAAAAAAAGAAAACAACATAAATTGTGGTCAATATAATCTTATTTTAAATTCAGTGCAATATTTGATCTGAAATGTAGTTAAAGCCTGTAATGTAATGAATATGGATGATTCTTCAATTAAGTGAAGACTTCTGTACGCTAGGATGATTAAATAAAGTGTTTGTTAAAAAGCACAGTAGTTTTAATGGACAGATTATCGTAGTCTGAAATTAATTATGTCAGAGAGCTGCAATAGAATTACTCAGTACTGCTGTTGTGTATTTGGGTTTATATGTAGTTATCTGGGAAATGAGAAGTGACGTTTTGAAATATTCATTTTAAGATTATTACATCATGATTGGAGAGTAACTTTATTAGATGTAATTACCTAACTGGTCACTATTTGAAATCCATTTTTTGAGTGTGTTATCAATAAAATAAAATAAAATAAATAACTTAAATAACTTACCCAACATATTTGAATAAATATTTAATGAACTATTTTTTCAAGCAGTCAGAAGGTCATATAACTGAAGAATCACTCCACTGTATAAATATAAAATATAAAATGTTATTTGATATTGACTTATGATTGAACATCTGTATAATCTGGCACATTAAAGTCAACATGAAACTGTGTTCGCAGCCAATTTGACTTCGATTGTGTGACGAATTTCATATTAAAACAAGAGAAAAGGCCTTGATTTTCTTGATCTCAACCATAAGGAAATGATTGGATGGTAAATTTAAAAAAACACTTGCTCACCAAGCACACCACCGAGTATCCAGTATTAGTCAGAAAACGGTGCTTATGATTTCATGTTGACTTTAAGCCCGAATTTGTCATAAACTGCTGCCAAAATATGTTCCATTTTATAAACCTTGATGGCCTGATGTCCAGCGCTGCTCAAACAAACACGTTACTGCTTTAAAGAGTGCAGCTATATTCATGCACAGGTCCCAGTCATGTGGTTTACATGAAGAACCAATGTTTTTTTCTCAAATACTGCATGATCAAAACTCCAGAAGAAAGTCAGTCCAGACCACAGTAACTGCTGATGGCATGTAAAGCTCATAACTGGACCTGTGTCATATTGTTTAATGGGCAGTGCAATAAAAGTCCTGTAAAATGCAGCACACTTTTTTTCCCTAGACATTCTGTCTCTAGCAGCAATTCTCTGGGTTGAATGTGGCCTGTTTTACTCTCTCTGTATTTTCCCTTGTTTTTCTCCTCATTTTATTTTGTTTCCGCATCTATTCCCTACATCCCTCAGAGCTGCGAGAAGGTTGGTGTGTTTTTTCTTTCTAACCATCTTCAAACTCAGAAAACAAATGATACAGACGCTAGTCACAATTCCCAAGAGTACGAAAAAAATAATTGTAGCTGCATTTGCGTGTCTATGATTAAATTCTGCTTTTGGTTCCTTATGTTCTATGTTTTGGACCGTTTTTTTTTCTTCTTCTTTTCCCTTTTGTTGTGGTCTGAACGAATGCTCTCCTGCTCTCCGCTGTACTGCTTGACCAAAAAGTGGTGCATGTCAGTCAAAATGTGCTCAGTTTTTAGGGGGGTTTGCATGGTGGATTGGTCATGCTGAAGTTGTCTGTCTTCTCCCACATGTCAGTGGTCCTGCTTCGTTACTTTGACCGACACGTGCTTTCCTAACGCCTAGAAACAAGCTCCCATTCGCTGACCTTCACCACGGTATGAACTGCGATGAGATGTGCTCCGTAGCTCTGTGAGATCAGATATTTTCTTTCTTTTCCACCTAACAAGCTGCTAATAAACGGCAATTGATGCATGTAGAGCGTTGTTCTCAAGACTCGACAAACGGAACGGTATTCAGATGAAAGGGAAAACATCATGTCTCCCGGAGCAGCGTTTCAATTGGAAATTAATTGCGAAAGGATTGAAAATCTGTTTGCAATAATTAGAGATTTAATCTCCAGAGAAGCGCGGCATCTCCGGTCGAATGCATGCCGCACGTCGTCGAAATTCTTATCTTTCCTTCTTCCATTTCTGGCGGTTAAAGACTTAAAGATACTTTAACTCCTCGCTAAACACTGGTTTAGGTTCATCCTGCTGGTATTTTAATTGCAAGTGATGTAATCAAGATCCTGGCCAAGAACCGTCCACGTAAACAGGAGGAGATTTGACGAGTAGGAGCAGGTAAATGGGATTTAACCCCAACCACAGTGCAGGATTCCTCAAATCTGAGCTTGCAGAGTTTAGCTCAAACCCTGATTAAACTCACCTACCTGTAACTCTAAAGACTTTAATTAGCTTGCTCCCATGTCTTATTAGGGTTAAAGTCAAACTCTGCAGATCAGTGGCCCTCCAGGGCCCAGATTTGAGGAACCCCTCCTTAATGGAATGTAACGTTCTAATCATAGACATCTAGTTCAGCGTTCCCCAACCCTGTTCCTGGTTGCACGTCAACAGTACACTTTTCGGAGATCTCCCTTACCTGGTTCTCTGAAGAGAACTGAATCTCTGAAGATGTGTACTGTCTGTGTGCCTCCAGGAACATGTTTGGGAAACACTGATCTAGTTTACTGCCACTAAGTGTCTTAAAACTCTCTACAAAGATTTGTTATGATGAACCTCACAAACTTTATCAAATCCAATGATTCGTTGTCCTCAGATGGGCTCATTGTAGCAGGACTGATATAAACCGCTGCACACTGACTCCCAAAAGCTGTGTAAAGCCAGCAGAGCCTGTCGCTTTGAGAAAGCTCCTGCCACTGTTGTGTGCATTATACATCAGCCGCTGCCGTTCTGACAGTATGTAAGCAGTAACACTGACATCGGTTCAGTTATTCTGGACCTCTCGAGTCTTCTCCCACCCTTCTGCTGTCTCAAAAACCCTCTTCTGAGGAGCTGGCACATATTATCCCTCTCTCTCTCTCTCTCTTTCTGTCTTGGAGACTCCTGCTTTTAATAGCCCTGTTGATTTCCTGTTATCTGACTCTACTAGTCCTCCCCCTCATCCTCTTCTCTCCTCTTGTTCCCTATCTATCTCTAATTCCCAAAGTTTCACTGTGGAATGAGCAGTTTGCTTGTTTGCATGACAGATTCAGGAATGCCCCCC